CAAAAACGTTTCAAGGGTGCTATGGCAGTCGTTGATGGGAAACGTGATGGCTATCAATCCAGCTGATGAGCCGAGGACGCATATGTTCATCTGGAATAATATTTTCTTCAGTCTGGGTTTTGATGTCAAGGATCACTATAAGGTATCTTTTCTTAGAGAGTTGAGATTCCTCTGACTTGAATGTTTCTTATGTATCACTGAATCTCGTGCGCTTGCAGGAACTTGGAGGTGACGCAGCTGCTTTCGCGGCAACCTCGGCTGACTTACAAGGCGTTCGAGCTTACGCTGCACTTGACAACTGCAAGCTATGTACCTTAGGAATGGCGATCATCGATTATAGGGGATACCGTGTCACCGCTCAAAGTATCATACCAGGGATTCTGGATAAAGAGCAGGTCTGTCTCTAGCCCTCTACGTTCAAGCTCTTTCTCTCCTCGAAACTATTGAACGCAAACAAACTATTCCTTTAGCGGATTTCTTAGTGACAATGAGCTTGAGGCATAACTTCTGTGCGTCGGTTTTAAGACGTTTCTTGCATATTTTTGCTTATAAAGCTGAGTGAATCCCCATAAAGAATTCTATTCCAGGAGCAGTCAGTCGTGTATGGCTCCGTAGATTTCGGTAAAACAGTCGTTTCATCGGAAAAGTACCATGAACTTTTGGAGGCTTCAGCAAAGGATCTGAAATTGTTGCCTCATGAAGTTGTTATCGACGAGGAAGGAAACACTGCAAAATTGTTACATCGCCAGTGCGCGACCGCGACCTATCGTGCGGTCCAATGACTCCCGGCACGCCGCGGGCGCCTGGCACCAAGCCCCCGGTCCGGCGGGCTAGGCGGGCGGTTAGTCCGGCGCAGCAGTATGCGACCTCAAGGTAAGTGCTGCTAAATTCTCGTGTCAGAACATATGTGCTCAATTTACTCATTAGTCCCCTCATCCTCTTCACCAACATTCACAACAATAGCCAATTTAAATGTATACCAGTTTAGCTCCGCCCGCTACCGCGCGCATGACACGGAAGCCTCTGACAAAACTGACAATCGGTGAAGCTTTGGGTTTCACCGCTTAACTATAGCTGCTTCGTTAAATGCATTACTGTCCGTTGCCCATCTTGGCTGTATCTCACTGTTTGATAAGCGCAGTGAAGTGCACAGCTAAAGTGATGTATGTAAACAACCACCATGCATTCGAGAATATGTAGCCGGCTCGAATAATTTTCGGGTTAATTATCAAAGACGGACATGCTCCCGTAACCTTGCACCATCAAATTTATTAAGAGCATCCCCCTTCCACATCCTCAAGAACTAAAGTGTTAGTCGCTCGAAGGCTGTTTGAGTTTTACAATTACAACGCGTGATGAAAATGTACATGAAACTGATGCATATCTGCAATCTGCGTTCGACGTAATGCTCTGCACGTTCGTACGCATATCGTAATTATCAGTCCTCATCTGCCGTTATCACTTTTTGACCCCCACAAAACATGTTACCGTCCCACCCCTATATCAGGTCCCAAAATCAGCTCCTGACGACTGCTGCGAAGCGCACTATGAATTTTGTGAAAATTGTGTTTCAGCGCCTCTTATCTGCTCATATCAGTCGTTATCACTTTGTGACCCCCACCAAATATACGTTCCCGTCCCACCCCCTCTCTAATCGCCCATGCCCCACAAACCAAAGCTACCTGACGACCACTGGTGCCCGAGCTATGAATTTCGCGACACTTGCGTTCTAGCGCCTTTTATCAGCCCTTATCAGTCGTTATCACTTTGTGACCCCCACCAAATATGTTCCCGTCCCACCCCCTATATCATATCTCGAAACCAACTCCTGACGACCACTGGTGCCCGAGCTATGAATTTCGCGACACTTGCGTTCTAGCGCCTTTTATCAGCCCTAATATCAGTCGTTATCACTTTGTGACCCCCACCAAATATGTTCCCGTCCCACCCCCCCTATATCATATCTCGAAACCAACTCCTGACGACCACTGGTGCCCGAGCTATGAATTTCGCGACACTTGCGTTCTAGCGCCTTTTATCAGCCCTTATCAGTCGTTATCACTTTGTACCCCACCAAATATGTTCCCGTCCCACCCCCTATATCATATCTTGAAACCAACTCCTGACGACCACTGGTGCCCGAGCTATGAATTTCCGGTCAGACAGACAAACACATACACACACACACACACACACACACACACACACCACCGCACAACCGCTTAGCCGATTATATATAGTAGGATTAATGGAGCACTTATCGCGTAACGACGGGCGCGTGTACCTACCGTACCCCTCTGATCTTTTTACGCAGATATGCCACCAGATGTTCATTATCCTCCCAAGATTGCCCTAAGAAATTTGCCTTCTGGCTTTCACTCAAACGGCAATTCTTCACTTATTTAGGTGTCTACTCCCACAATTCATTCTCCATCGCAACAAATTAATTACTAATCGGTCAACCAGAGACACCTGACGACGATCACCATCTTCCCACAAATCTTCCACTTGCAACAGATTGTTCCGCAAAACACACGGACGGCCAGCATCTCACAGTCTCCTCGCTCCTTCCGCTGCTCAATACACCATCTCGTCTCTTATTCTGTAGCCCTCTCTAGCCACCTCCTTCTTAGCTAGACTTCTTAATAAGCCTTCTGGTAATTTCAGCGTTTCGGAAAAACGGGCCAATCGCTTAGGGTTCCCCAGCACCCTTTTTCCCACCGATAAAATCTTGCAAAAAGCGCCTCCGTTCCCCATCACCATTGTCGAAATTTTGCCATGACGTGCGAGTTTTTCGGGGAAATTTGGAACCATTCATGAAATGTGGCTCTCCTCAGAAGAGGCCACCTATATCCTGTCCTTGATAAATCAAAATGAAGCCAGCAGTTCTACGAGCTGACCCAATTGTTTATTTTGAATGGGCGTCTATTTGCAGAGCCTCGCTTGTATGCAATTCATTAAAACTGCTGCCAATCACGTCAGACAACATATTGCTGCGAACAAGGAAAATCAAGAAGCACGTGAGTCTCTCACACATTTGTTTACCTTTGTCACTCTACTGTTGTTTGCGCTTTGGAAAGTGTTTGCTGATTTGTAGCTCCGCACGTTGCATCACTCGCCAGTCGCACCAAAAGCACTAGTAGAAGTTAGCGAAGGCCGAGAACCTCTTACAAACTGTGGAGTGATTAAAGAAGCCTTAGCTAAGGTGAGTTTACGAAAAATAGTTGTGGGTGGAGAAATGTTTCGATTCCTCTTGTGAATTTATTGATTTAGGCTGCGGAAGCTGTGCATTCATTGCGACCTGACACGTTTGATATTCGCTTCAACCCTGACTGTTTCTCATCTACGGTGAAGCATGCACCTGGAGAGGATCTAGAAAAGCAAAGACGTCTTGTCATTGAGGTAACTATTGCAGCCTATCTTTATGATTATTCGAAACAAATGTTCTCCCTCAGGTCGCGGAGTTCATGTTGACTTCACAATTACCGGAATTTGTGGCTAGTTGTGTTGATGCTACCGTTACTCCTATTGACGGTGAAAGTCTCTGTGACCTAATGCATACTCGTGGAATCAACGTGCGGTACCTAGGAGATGTTGTGCGAACGGTGAGTAGCATTGTTTTACTTTTACAGCTACAGAAGAGCTTGGCACAGCGTTAGGATGCGGAAGTACACCAGTATAAAATTCAAAAAAAAACAGCAGGTAACAAAAAAAATAAGTCAAAAGTAGTTGATTTTGTCACAAAGCATATCCGGCGCAACTTAGAGCGTCAAAGTGGCAAGTAGCGTCAAAAAATGGATAGCGAGTTGAAATCTGCAGCTTGAATTGTGTGACACAATGAAGACATTATTTGCGCCATTCACCATAGCTATGCCCATTCAGTAGCAATAATTTGATTGCTTACTGGCTTCTTACCTAAAAGCGTGCTTTAGGTGCTGGAAACTGGTCCATCGTCTTACATGGTCCCACTAGCTGTCACTGAGCTCGTGTCACGTTGCGCAAAGCACGTGCTGAGACAGTACATGAACACATTACCTCAGGTCAGTATTTAATCTTCTGTCTTTGCCTTCATATAGAATTGTTTGATAAATTCAGCTATAGCGCGCCATGGGACACAGCAATTTATACTCTGTTTACAGGAGCAATTAGGATGCGCAATAGCTCATCTTCTGAATGCAGTATTCGGAAATTTATCATCCGACCATACAACTGGTGGAAATGCTGAGCGAAATACAAAACGAGTGAGCGATCATTCTGAACGTAATAAATTTCAATCTTACACGACTTCAATTCTATTCATTCAGAATAGTAGAAAGTCTAAGAAGACGTCGGCAAGTGGGGAGTGGGTGTCTGTCAACACTAAAGAGTTTTGGAATGCTGTTTGTCAAGAAGCCAAGAACTATTATGCTTTTGATCTCAAGGTGGCTAGTTTCCTTCTTTCATCTTGAGCATGCTTTTCTTGTGAGAGATACATTCTCTTGGCTTGTAGGTGGACTGCGTGGACGCCGTCGTGGAGCAGTATGGTGTGCAGAAAATTTCATTGTTACGCCGTTTGTGTAGCACCCTGGGAATTCAACTTGTAAACAAGGTAAGCATGCTTTGTAATTTTTCTATCTTGGAAACCCATTGGAATCGTCGATTTCATTTTCGATTTTGTTCTCGTTGCTAGAGAATATTTCACTTAGGATATTTATTTGAATAGAATCTAGCCCTTCATCCTTTCGGGCTTGGTCAATTGGTATCCCATGCGCCTGGTAGACATTAGGGTGACCCACAAGTGAAATTTAGTCACAATCATGCAGCGCATAAGAATCGTAGTAAATTCACGAGATCAATAATCAATGCAGAATCCCTTTTACCATGATTAATGTTATAGGAGTACGTGCACAGAAACAGAAACAAACCCTTGAGTCTAATCAGGTGTAAGGTGACCTAGTCTGAACACTTACCACTATCCCACAACAGACGCATGTCGACCGGTCCTTGTAGATGTTTACATATAACGAAACCCGTGCGAATTTTAATACGACTAAACGAAAATCGAAAGTGTGACATCCATTCAAAAAGAGATTGATTCACGCTGAATGCGTTATCCTTCGTCAGCTAATTTGCCGCACGCTATAGAGAGATGTACACAAACTCGATCGATTAGCGGATTAGATGTAGTAGGGTTCTATTCTGTTCGGATGAATAGCTTTGCCATTTTTAGGACTACCAGCTAGAGAATAGCTTTGCCATTTTTAGGACTACCAGCTAGACACATCGTCTACACGCTCCCGTCAGCCGTTCTCTGAAGATGATATACAGAACTTGATTCCCGTTACTAAGCACAGACAGGTAATAGTTTGGCTCATAGAGTTTGGAAGCTTACGCAAGACATTGTAGAACTTCAGAGAATTTTGAACTCTTCTTGATGAAAGCAAAACAGTAAGAAGGAGAATAGGCAGCATAGTTTTATTTATTATGGAATATAGATTATGATATGACAGATGATTTTGTATAGCGTTTCCATAGTACTTGTTGTTTTCAGCCATGCGCAACTGATGCTAAGAAATTATTCACTCGTGGTCAACAAGCTATGCAAGTTGGACACTTACGCGAAGCTTACGAATGCATCGCAGAATCGGTGGGTCAATTACTTGCGTTCTTCCACGTCCCATATGCCATTTTTAACGGTCTAAACCGAGTATTTACTCATTCCTAACCCGAGGAGAAGCCTGCATCTCTTTTTAAACGTGAATCCAAAGTACCTTTGTATTTTAGGTGAATTTGATGACTTCCGTATATGGTGCTTTACATAGCGAACTCGCTCAAGCACTTCGTCTTTTGGCTCGTCTTTCATATATACTTGGTGATCCGACCGAGGCAGTTGCTCAACAGCATCGAGCCGCGTTGATGAGCGAACGCTGCAATGGAATCGATCACGCGTATACAATTATCGAATACGTAAGTGTTATTGATTTATTTGATGTTCTTAAATACAGAGTTGTTGCGTAAAGATGAGATGAGTTCAGATCAATCTCGCTCACTTTGCATTTTCGAATCTCTACATACCTGCTGCCCTAAGATTGCTCTACCGTGCTCGATACCTTTTGCTCATTGCCCATGGAGAGAATCATCCTTTGATGGCTCAAATTGATGTGGGTTTTTCATTCCGGCTGAGCGAGCTCTATACGTGTAGCCAATATGCACCGATCAGATGTTTTCAGGGAAATATTGGTGTCATTTTATTTGCTGTCCATGAGTTTGATACCGCTCTACGTTTCTTACAATCAGCAGAAACTGTAATGTCAGCTAACGGAGAGCCCAAGCGTCTCAAGGTCTGATTTGCTTTTTTTCGACTGGTTTCTTTTATTTATTTGCTTCCTCAATTGCCAGTGCCTTTATAAGCAAACGGATTGACTGCTCAAAAAGCGCCCCGCGGTTGTTGTTCGAATCCGAGCTCACGATAGTACGAGCACGGCTTCAGCAGTACCCGTTTCGAAAGTCATGAAACTTGCCTACCTAATCAGATTTCCTCATCGATTCATTTCCATTTGAATGCACAAGTTTGTGGGAGTTCCTCGAACAACTCTTGTTTGTTGCAGCTTTCGGATTCCATTTGTCGATATCTTTTTTAGTCTGCTCTAGTGCAGCACATCACTGCCCGTGCACATGCATCTCGCGGAGATTTCCGAGCTGCTTTGGCTGCTGAAAAGGAGACTTATTCAATTTACAATAATCTCTTCGGTCCTGAACACGACAAGACAAAGGTATAGGTTTTATATCGTCTAGAATATTTTTCTCACCGTTGATCACACTATTCGGCAGACACTAATTCCGTTTTCTTTCTTCAGGAATCGAGCGAATACCTCAGTCAAGTTGACGATGCAGGCGGTTGCTTTCCAAAGAAAAGTGATGGATGCGACTAAAGGCAACTCTGTTGGGCCGCTGCTGCCTGCGCAGGTGAGAAAAAGCTTAGCGCGATAAAAAGTTCAAAGAAAGCTTCATGCTCAGCAAATGCAGAGCAAATAATATATGATACGCTATATTTTAATTTTTGAAGTGGATAGTAGCTTGCCTTGCCACTTAGGCGCACGGTATGGTACTATGACTCGTACCGCGTTCTGATGTGGCAGAAATCAATACCATTCCAATAGCAGACTCATCTAGACGTTCTTATAGTCTAGGGTGAGAGTATGGAATGGCACAAATCAGATGCTCCATCTTCCTTCCCATTTTCATATCCTAACAAGGGAAGGTTTCAGGACATGGAGCGCTTTTTTCGAAATGGTTTTCTGCATGTTGTAGGGGCTCATGCGAGGAACACAGAACCATGATCCATTTTTCCTGAACGCCTCCAGGAATGTCAAAACAGTGGTGAAGAAATGGTCCAGAGTTCGATCCCCGGTGATGACTAATTTTTGCAATATAGTTTGGCGCCCCCAGATTGCCGCCAAATGGCGCCATCGTCGGTTTGCGGTAATTTGGCGGCGCCAACATAAATTGCAAAAATTTGTCATCACGGAGGATCGAACTTTGGACCATTTCTTCCCCGCTGTTTTGACATTCCTGGAGGCGTTCAGGAAAAATGGACCATGGTTCTGTGTTCCTCACATGAACCTCTACAAAATTCAGAAAACCATTTTGAAAAAAAAACGCTCCATGCCCTGAAAGACCCCCTTGTAAGTCCCTCATCGATCCTTTCTGTGCATTACGTAATGTTCAATATTTCATTTCCAGCTCCCTCAACCGTCACTATCTTCGATCCTCGATGTATTGAATATTCTCAATGGCATCATTATTATCTCGGTCGGCAGCATGCCTAGCGCTACTGAAAACGCAACGGAAACCCCTGAAAGCAAACCGACCACAGAATCGCTCGGAATGACAGATGAGGCTCTTGATTAGACGTGAATAGTTAGTTTTTACTTATTTCCCCAGGCAGCACTCTCATCATGTCTTTTCAATTTTGAATTATCGTTCGTGCCATCTATACCTTGTTCTCTTCAAAAGAAGACCAGCAGCTAATTTCGTTCTGTGAATTTGCTTTACTAATTCCTTTTAGTGTTGTTGAGGGAACTCCAATTGATGTTTTACCGCATTTTTAGCTGCAATTTCACAGTGATGTGAGCTTAGTTTCAGTAGGATAGTAGTTCTTAGATTTATTCACAATATACTGCGTTGTTGATGTTCCATTTGAGATTTGTTACACGTTCCACTTATTTGTTGTTGTCGTGAAGCCAAGCCCCATTGATTTGGATGATAATGCTGTAGTGATGTTGCTCAGCGCTAACTCAGTCATCGCTAGAGCACATTCTCTTGGACGTAAATATCAGCGCACTTTGGAAGCAACCTTACGTTCTGAGTTTGCCTTGTTCGCTAGTTTTGAGAAGTTCTTCGATTTTTCAAGTGGAACAAAGCTGCTAGCAATTTACTAGCAAGGTTTAGCCTCGTTCTTTTGGAGAAATCGCAAGTATTTCACTGCAGGTATAGCTTATGTCGGCCTGAGACGCGAGCGGTCGCAGCGCGGTGAGGCAATAAGCTCGATTTGCAACAATCTAAGGGCCTTGTTCTGTTGTGACAGCTTAACATCAGTGGTTGGTTGTCAAAGGCATGTTTATCTGTTGTGTATACCTGCTAGTCTATGCAGAGATGCTGTGCGCCTGACTTATTTTACGCAGTCATGAATCATAGTCGAGTCTTACACGATACTGCGAAGATAGTTGAACTCGTATCCAACGGTGTAGGAGAGATTTCATCGTAGTTAATATACTGTAGAATAGGATAATTGTTAGTTAGTGTTCGTTACTTATATGTTTATTTATCATGAAGTACAGAGAGTTTAGAAGTAGTTTGTTATTATTTGTTATATTCGAGAGTGTGCGTTTAGAAATGGAGTTGTTCATCATGATTGTTCATTGCTCAGATTTTGGAATCTTTCGTTTCGTTGTTCCCGTCATCCACGTCCTCTTCGTTGTAAGCTCATCCCTATGGCATCATATATAATTGTTAAATCCAGGTTCGATTGAGCATTTAAATGTCAGTTGATTGAATTCCGGAAGTAAATGTAGTTTACACATGACATGACCTTTGATTTGTTTTGAGTTGTATTGGACGTGGATCTAAAGGCACCGAGTTAGGAAATTGATGTTGATTAGTTATGAAAGCAGAGGTGCCAAGCAGTGCGGCGATGAAAATGGAATCTGAATCAACCATCAAAAAAAAACTGGACTGAAACCACAACCCCGCCCATTCAAGAACTGAGACCGAAACCCCGCCCATCCATTTTGGACGAGTTGGCGGACGAGATGCTTGATGCTTGTGCATCATGCATCTCGATGTAGAATAAAAGACACGACAAGATTATAAGATGGGTCCGCTTGATACATAATGCGTTTTTGAAATGAAATCCGAACTTGATTGGAAAGGATTTCGGCCACTTCAATCTTCAGAGATGGGGGCGGGGGCGGTTCGGAATGGGCGGGGCGAAGGAGTATAGCGCTACTGCAACTAGCGATCAGTCCGGCGGCTTCGTTTGACAGCGCACCAGTCACCAGGACTTACAAGTGGCTTTCTTTGCCAGCTACCTGCTCTCTCCTTATGCTCGCATACCCTTCCCTGATTGTAAAGCCACTAGCCATACGATACCCACTGCCTTTAAATTTCAGGTCTGAGATTAAACTATGTGTTACGCTTGTAAAGGAGCATGGGGATGAGGAGTGTAACCTCAATGATGAAGCAATGGGAAAGAAACCGTTGTGAAGACATACAGTACTTATTAACTAAGGTTTTTCTAGAGGAGACCAATGGTGCGGCGGGATCTATGCTGGAAAAAAGTCCGGGCGAGCGAGATCTCTCCTGTCTGATTGAATCTCCCTCAATTTATGCTTTTATGTAGCGAATGCTTAGTAACAGAATAGTTTCGGTGGCTCATCGAAAATGCTGGAAGTAACCTTCATAGCAACCACACTCATTGATTCATCTCCATTGTTTCGCCGCCAGGCATATCTTGCGAGTGGTCGTCTCTCAGCATGACAGGTCAGATTCGTCTATCACAGCTCATGTGGCTACTACTCCCGGTCAGCTCATAATCTACAATTAGTAGTCTTCAGCTTATACTTAGTATTCTGTCGGGAATTGTCGAACAACCTTCTCTCCTCCTCTCTCTCTCTGACCCCTTTGGAAACTTTGGTTACATCAATTGCAATTGCCCTTCCAAAATAACAACCTTCACCTTCTGAGACGGGTTTATTCTGTTTCCGGGTTTTCGAGGCGGGGTTCGGTTCACTAAAACTGATCTTTTTCATTTGAACCTCTTCATTAAGTGAAAAACACAGAAATGGACCGCAAAGTGGCGATAATGTTGTGGGGCTGACGTGTACGGCCATTTAATGACCGTGAAAAAGGCCGTAAAGCTCAACTGGTCATCGAAATGCCCGACGGACAGCGCACGTGTATACGGTAAGTGCCTAACTTCTATCAAGTACTACTTATTATATTCAGAACAGCTACATTGTGCAGCAATTGATGACTAAAGACTGGTTCGTATTATTGAGAATGGTTTACTTGTTTATTGTTTATTGTTTCGTACGTCAAAAGACATGCCGTCAAACACATGAAGATGGCTCGTAAAGGGAAGGATCAAAGTATATAAAGATTAAACTCCACAAAAAGACAAGAAAAGTCCTAAAAAGATGCTAAGGAGGATAAACCATCATCAAATCATCTTAGAATACTGAGACGCTGAGCATTGCCAATTAGGGACAACGAACTAAAAACTTAGCTCAATACGTGCAGTGCAAGACGCTAGAGACTTGCTCGCGAGGACCGGCGGAATAGTAGTGTAAGTGTCGAGGCCTGAGCTTTTAGCGACGGGTTAGAATGTCGACATTAGAATATCAACTGGGCAGCATACAGTAATAAAATATGAACAGAAACTCTTCTGATTACTGGTAAACCAAATTAGCACATTACTAACACTAACCAATCTAGAAGCTCCCAAGGGAGCGAATTATTCCGTTTCAGGAAATTCATTTTTTAAACCCATAAGAATACGATGTAATGTGGGGCTCAAAAGATAGGATACGGATATTAGGAGGACGATTTGGGATGTCTTTTATTAAAGGAATCCTTCCGCGGAAAATTCTTGCATTCTTTCCCAACATGAATATGTCAGTTGTGATCACTAGAGACAACGTACAAAGTTTCACGCAAGAAGATTCAGTTTCCGAAGAGAAACAAACCTACGAAAACCACACTCTGGGGACGGTCGCGGGTAGGTCGGGCGGAGACAAGGGAACGCATGGAAAGAAGTGCGCCTTGGGCGGCCACGTATCAGGCGACGCATTGAAAGAATCGGGTTTGTTATTGCCATAGGTGGAAAAGGCCAAAAAGGTTTCGTAGTGAAGGAACCCGAGAACCAAGTGGAATCGTTCCCGTCGTCAACATTTGTGACAGATGTACGGCAAGAATTTCAGCGCGTAACAGTTTTTCCGGTTTTCGAATTGTTCACTGACACGAACGCAAAATATCAGTACAAGTCATTATAGAACTAAAAAACAAGATATTTGGAAATTTGCGCGACTGAATTCCAGGGACCCGAACAATCCATCCGATGAGAAATGGTTCACATTTGATCATTCGTATTGGTCACATGACGGATTCAAAACCGAAAAGGACGGCTATTTTTCACCGGAAGACAGCCGATATGCCGACCAGGTAGGTGATGGAGGGAACGAAGCAGACGCAGACAGAGAGACAGACAGACAGACAGATGAGACATACATA